TGGCTTCAGCTGCCAGTACTTCTGTACGTTCATACTTTTAACTGTCTGAATAATCCAATTAATTTCACTAGCATGCATAAAACAGAGCTTGTGCATAACTATTCAGAAACAGTAATGTCAAAAGCCTTTACTGATGCTATCTTCTCCAAAATGTATCACTTTCTTTCACTTTCGTGGTTTTGCTCTGGGTCAATTTGCTTTCAGACCTCCCACACAATTACTATTAGTTGAGAGAAGGTTTATGCAGACAAAAGAGACAGGATTTGGGGAAAATAGTATGAGCATTTATTACTAGCAAAATAAAAATTACTAAAGAACTATATTTACAATAATTCTACTTAAGTAAAAGTGCTATATATTTACAGAAATACTCCTTCCCCCTTTATATATCAGTCCAAGGAGGAGAAGTAGTCCTTTTCTCCATTCTCGGAGTTCCAGCTCTTTCTCCAGTAACTCTGCAGTACTCTCGTCACAGCTGGAATTCTTTCATCTCTCTCTCTTACTCTGTGTCGGCCTCCAGGGCTGGGCCTACCGCTCTCCTGGGCTAAGACCAAAGGCTGGGGGTTACCCAGGTCCTGAAGGTTTTTCCTTCCATAGGCTTGCAAGGGGACACTCGCTTACTATGGATCTTCTTCCACAGAGTTACAGGGAATAATGGCTTAAGAGTACACCCCTGTTCTCTATGGAGGTCACTTCCCATGGGAGAACAGTCCTTGATAGACGTCTCCAACATGGTCTAGCACAGATCCCTTACTTGGATTCCCACATCTTACCCAGGCCGTCCTTGCTCCAGCGTAAGTCTCTTTCTCAAGGTTACAAATCTTTAGCAGCAGCATGGATCCCTCACTCGGATTCCAACATCCCTACCCGAGCCGTTCTGTGCTCCAGCAGAGGTTTGGTCACAAATCTTCAGCAGTAGTATGGATCCCACACACAGGTCCCAGCATCTCATCCGAGCCATCTCGCTCAGGCGGGAGTTTCATCCCCCTCAGGGTCACAAATCTTCGACAGGTCTCTGCCTCACCTCAGGTCTCTCATAAAGTCTCGGCTTCTTCATGCAACCTACTTCAGTATAGGCTCCTCCACAAGTAGCACAGGGCTCTCTTCACCCCAACAAACTTCTACAAGGTGGCAGGGTTTTATTTTTCAGTCTTTTTCCTGCTGAAGGGAGAGAGAGAAAGGGAGAAAAAGCAGCTCTCTCCCCTTCGAACTTTTCTCTCCTCCGGCTGCCAGTTTTGACCTTGGAGGTCCCTTATCTCTTCGCTGGAATTTCTCTGCAGCAGTTTCTGTCCAAGCAGTTAGTCTTTTAAACTTTTTTTTTCCTTCACTCTCTTACAGAAGAGAAAGGGGAGCTTCAGTGCCGCACCTGCCCACCCCGCCGGCCCAATCCGGGGGAGGAGGGAGCCTGGCCCTGCTCGGGCCGGCCCTGCTCGGGCCTGCTGCTCCTCTACATGGCTGCTGCTCCTAATTTTAACTGTGCAATAAGTCTTCTCTTCCGTTTTCTTAAAGATGTAATTAGCAAAGGCATCACTGAAGTTTTTGGTTGTTTTTTTTTGTCTGGAAATCACCTGGACAAAACCGTCCTCAGCCCCAGGGATGGGCTGGTGGGCAAAACCACGACAGTGTGCCTTATTTGACCCCTTATTTTCCAACAGTCCCTCAGCTTTATTATGCATATATCTCTTCAAAATGGCTGGTGGTGGATACACGCAAATAGATAATTTAATTTTCCTGCCATGTCTTTATCCTCATTAATTGTTCCCATTGCACCCTGGTACTCCACTGAGCCTTTTGCTTCTCTCACAGCCTGCTTACACCTCTTATAATTAAGTAATTTCTTCTTATTTATTTTCATGTTATGCCTTTGGCTAATCTCCCTACCAAATCCCTCAGCTAAACCATCTTCTTTTTTGTTTTACATTATTGTTCCTTATCACTACCTTCTGTTGGGCTAACTTTCCATTTTCCAAAGGGTATTTGAAGAGCCTCTTTTGTGGTACCTTTCCATTCAGCCACTGCAGATAGGCACTCTCCCTCCCTCTTCCTTTTTGTCTTTCTGAGGCTTGTGCAAATCTTTTGTAACTCATTAGCGACTCACTTCAGTAAGCTCCATGCTGAATCCTTACAGGACCTTATACATTTCCTTTTGTGTAATAGCAGTTTATTTCACTTTTTTTTTTTTTTTTTCTGTGTGAGAGGGTTAAACTGGTGAGGAAGGAGATTGAAGGAGGGAAGGGAACATTAAGCAAAGGAACAAAAGAGATGGACTAATAGCAAGTGGTTCTGTGTTCATGCATAAAAAATTATTTGGATGCAAATCAGTCACACAGCTGAACAATTTGTCTCAAAGCCCAAAGATTAGGGAGCAGAGGGCTTCAGCCTCAAGTGGCACTCTGTCTGATTTCTATCCAGTCTCTGTATTCACAAAACAGTGTGTCTGCAAATAAACCACCTGGAGGACTTGTTTGCTGCTTTCATGTCTCCCTGTACTCATCTGAAAAACAGCTTTGTGTTCATAGTGAGCTATTTCCTACACCATATCTTAAGAAGTGCAAATACATAGAGAGGGGAGGGATGTAGGCAGGAAGAGAGACACATTAATTGCAAACTAAGAAAATGAGGTGTCATATCTTCCAGGTAAATAATTTCTACCTAAAGTACAGAGAAATATAGGTGAGTAATTGCTTGATAAACTGGCAGTTTATGTAGACACATAAGCAAAGACTGGGATTTCTCAACATAGAGTCCAAGGGGAAGATTTTGCACTCAAATATTTAGTTGCTATTTAGAGTTTAGGTGGATTGCAGAAGATGCTTTGTATGTACCATTCCCAGACAGCCCTACTGAAACAATTACACAGGCATTAAAAACGTTAGAGGTAGCAGGATCATAAATATAAGTTTGAATGTACTCCTAAGAAAATTTCTTTCCCATAAATAAAGGATGAAATCTTATCACAGTGGATCTTTGGTTTCATATCTTTGGTAATAACAAACAAGTTCATTCTAAGGTTCACAACTGTGGGGTTAAATTGACGTCAGGATTATTCCATCTTCCCCAATGTAGCCATAAAGCCCATCCAAGGATGATGATATTATTCTGCACTGATGCCAACAAGACTGCAAAGAAGTTTGGCATGTGTGTGAGCATGGCTTTGGAGCCACTGCACACCTCTGGGAGCTTCCATGGGACAGTTCTTACGTAAGGCTGAGCACCTTGAAGAAGGATGCTGGGGTAGTGTAGGATATATTAAGTAGATAGATCCAAGGGTATATTTGCTTTTTTCACCTTTGAAAATGTAGTCATCTGATGCTGGTGTTCGAAAAACATGATTTGTTTCAGCTGGTCCATAGGTAGTATTACAGAGTTTTTCAAAATAAATTTAGACTAAAAATAAATGTCAGATGCCAGTCCAATCGATATGCCTTCACCTTACATTGCTTACATTTCCTTACATTGAAGGAAATACTTCTTCAGTTTTTCTGTTTAACACAATTTCCCTCTAGGATTTGGAAAGGTCAAGGTTGTCCTGTAACTTTAAATGAGGGAGGGGTGACTTTGTACCCAGGAGCAATGAAATTAAGTATCTTTAAGCTCTATTTATTGTCTCAGCAATTATACTTCAGAAAAACTCCTAACTTTTGCAGAAAGGTAGATTTCATAAGTAGCTTTTTCAAGGGATCAGGTCTTTAGAGAAAGAACATACATTTCCACTCAAAACATGCTGAGAAAAAAGTGCAAGAATAAGAAAACACTTCACCATTTTCTTCTAATAGAAATTTATCATATGTTGATGCTATTCAGGGGTAGAGGTCTTGATGGCAGAGAAGTTCATTTAGGCTGCACACAGGTTTTTTATCACTGGTAGAATTTGAAGTAATGCTCTTGAGGACTTCGAGAACTTATTTTAAAGTAAAGAAAAAGTAGAAAAAATATTAAATTAAAATCACTATGGGAGAACATGGTGTGAACCTTCCCTGTAAGACACCTCAGGCCTCATCAAAACTTGAGAATTATTCAGAGGTAAAGCAGATTGGACTAACAGTATGTTACAATTTCATTTTAGACAAAGTTAAGCTGTACTTTCTGAAGCTTTCTTTATTTGTTACTCTCTAAAAGAATCTATTGTTGTAAATCATCCTAAAGGGAAGGACAGATGAGAAGAACCACCTGATTTAGCTTACTGAGGTATAAATATGGACTAAGTCTTTAAAGTGTTCAACATTTTTGTAAAACGCGTGAGATGGAAGTAGAGAGTGGCTCCGGCTTCCCAATACAGACTTGCACATTAAAGAAAACATTTCAACATTTTCTTCTCTGTTATTTGCAATATCCTTCAGGGTCTCCAAGGTTTTTAATTATTCTCCCAGAGTTGAGGGAAGCCCTGCAGCCAGCTTATTGTAGCTGATAATTAATAAAGAGTTCCCATTTTAAGTGGGTGCAACCATTTTTCATGTTGCATTTGGTTTGCAGAAATAAGGAAACAGTCAAACGTTATTGTGCAAAGCTTGGATTATTCCCTCCACTCAAACAGGAAGGTATAGAACCTACTTGTAACTGTATCTTTTATGCTTCTATTGTATTGATTTATTTCCTTTCCTGAAAAAGAGACAAAAACCCAAAAATGGTAAAGTATATCCAAATGAACAAGGACTTAAACTGATACCTTGAATTGGTTTCATTTCACTGCAGACAAATAGCTTGTCAATGTAGCTTAGCCAAAATCTGTTGTAAAGAATGCCAGAAGAATTGAGGAGATCTCATTCAGTGTTTATTTTATCCACCAGTGAGGAAGATTTATCACACTGAGGAGGGGAATGTGATTTTTAGAGCAGGAGTTTGTTTAATGACACCTCTAAAACAACTCTCTTTTCAGAAGAATTCTGCCAGAATGAATCCTTGTACCTTGCTCATGCCACATCCACAGCAAAGCTGAGTATCTTGAGGTTTGAAGATGACTGCAACCATTGATTTTTTTTTTTTTTCTGCTTTGGCTTTAGGAACTCTTTCATAGATATCCTTCGAGCTATTCTACTTTCCTTAGAAGTGCTCATCGAAGATCAGGAGCTTCAGATAAATGGCTTCATTCTAATTATAGACTGGAGCAACTTCTCTTTCAAGCAAGCCTCCAAGCTTACACCATCTATCCTCAAACTGGCCATTGAAGGGTTACAGGTAAGTGGAGGGTAACACACAGACTTTCAACTTTTGTTGCTACAGACAGTGATTTTTGCCTCATCAGGCACTGGGCAAAGTGAAAGGTATAGAAAATAATCCAGAATGCTTTAATGTCCCATCTACTTGAAGCATAGATTGATTTTCGAACATCTCATTTTTTTCTGTCTTTCACTTCTATTTCAGCTGTAAATCAGTGTAACTAATGTGTGTGTTATTTAACACAGCATTAAAGGAAGGAGGGTTAGATGATCTGAGGTTTAATCTATCAGAGAATTTGGGGGGAATTAAAATCCAGCAGTGTCTGCCTTCTGGAGTGTGCAGTCCACACGCAAGCACATGTATGTGCAGAGCAAGGGTGGCAGGAAAAGAGAGCAGCTCCCTCAGCAGATGGAAGTGTGCTGTTGTGTTCACGTGGATGCATTTGAGTTGGAAGGAAATGAAGAAGAGGGAGGACAGACTCCCTGTTGTGCCCTGATTCTGACTGCCTTTATTTGTCACACAGTATCCTGTTACATTATGGTTCGGACTGCTCAGGGGCTGCACGTCCACTTGGTGCTCTCAGATAAATAGGTGCAATCTAAAACCATGTGCTGTTACAGGGTTAGGTGGAAAGGACAAGGCAGCTGGGCCCTGGCAACCTGAGGATGAGGATAAACTGTGGTGCTCAGAAAGGACTTCAGTCCTTTCCACTAAAGTCTGAGCCCATCCCTGCTGTTAGACCTGAGATGGATTTTTAGGTCTAAAAGTAGTCTGACACAACCTTATTAACTGAGGGCATTTGATAGAAGTCAAGGACTATTTAGGTTATAAGGAGCTCTGGAGATCACTTTGTCTGACCCCCTGCTCAAAGCAGGACTGACCTCAATCTTATATCAGGTTGCCAAGGACCACATGCTTCACATAGCTACATATTTAAAAAGAGAGATTAGAAGTCAGTGAGTTTTCATTTTATTTTTTGTACTTACTAGATATTCTGCAGTCATAAATACCTCAAGAATAATTTTCCATGTTGTGTTTATTTAAACTTATAACTATTTAACAGAAAGAACAGTTTGTTCAAGTAATTTTTTTACTAACAAATCATCTACAATTAGATCATGATTGTCTCTACTTCATGTTATTATTCAAAAATGAGGTAGAAAAATCTGCCATCAGTTTTAAGCCTGTGTTCCCCTTTGTGAGGAATTTTCATCTAGTCTAACAAATTAGAAAGTCAAGCTGTGCAATTAGTCCTTAGGACAATACCTTATCTTCTCCTGCTGCTATTATCACTTCATTCTCTGGTTCAAAACAACCCCTCCAGTCAGAAGGAAGGTAAAGCCAAGTGATATCCAAAAGGAAATCAAATTTTAGCAAGTTGTCCTTGTGCCTGTCCAAATTTTGCTTTTCCACCTATTTGGTAGGAGGCCAATCCAGCCTTCACCCTGCCTGACTTCTGGCCATGGCACCACCAGGTTGACTGCCTACAGTTTATTTGCAGTTGTTGCCAACAATATGTTTCTGGAAGTACCAAAGCCTGGGAGTACTAAAGCTGATCTTAACGTTGTGTCATTAGTCTTATATCCTGTGCTGGGCAATTTAAGGAGACTGCCTTTCTTGTGCCTGTGTGGGCATTTCATTTCTTATTTAAAGTCAAGTTACTGTTGTCTTCTCCATGATTACTAGAAATATAACTCTCTTTAAAAGTACAAACTGGGACAACATGTCCTAGACTGAACTAACCACTGGCTTGACAAGTTGTAGGAGTTGTGAATGCTGCACTCCAGTTTACCAGGCTTAGAAACAAGTCATTCATGCTCATGAAGCACATATTTAGCAAACAGTGATGGTGGGGGCCTTTTAGTTTTAGGATTTTTTGGCTCTCATCATTGCTGTTGAAGTGCTTTCACTGAGACTTTGTTCTAATATTATTTTAAATGAACTATTGCCATCCTAGTGTAAAATTTGTCTAAAATGTAGTTGGAGATGAGACTTACATACAGAAAAAGTGTCACAATATGAGTTGTATTGGAGGCCATTGAAAGTAAAAAAAAATCAGATTCTATTTTCATGAGTTGATGATGTCCGGAAAAAACTGAGATTGTTTCAGTTCCTGTTTATTTCCCATAGCCAGGACACTGGGCATGTACAGGCCCTCAGACAGGCAGATAGCATGGCTATCTCAGTCCTCCTTTACAAAAAGAAATTTTGGGCTATATTAAGTCCTGTGTAAGTCTAAATAAGTGGATGGAAAGAAAATAATTCTCTCTTGCAATTTCTACTGGAATTGAACCCATAGGCTCACATGTGGGTATCTGAGCCAGGAATATTAACTTCTCTCTATGTAATAGTAATTTTAATGCCATAGCTGAACCATTTTCCCATAGTTTCTTAAACTTTCATCTCATTCAGTGTCTCAGACCACCACATTCTGAAATATAGAATTGCTTAAAAATAAACAGTATTTAATAGTTTATGCATTTTGGTTTTTTCTTTCTTATTTTCAATTTGCTTTCAGCCAATAATGTCTTGTCACTTTTTTTTTTTTTTTTTTTTTTTTTTTTTTTTTTTTTTTTTTTTTTTTTTTTTTTTGGTGTTTGTATATAATTTATTTTTCCTCAAGTTGGTGCTGCAATGCTCTATCATTAAGTGCTGACAACAAACATTACACACATACATATGTTAATTCATCCTGTGTTATAAAACAAACACTAGTCAAATCTAATGAACTTGGCTGTGGAAATTAATATATTGCTATTACATAGGCTTATCAGTTCCAAATACTACAAAGTCTGTAAATACTTAGAAAGATGAAGTAGGATTGACATCACCACACATTTGAATGCACATTTTGCTCAATACTATTCCTTGTTCTGTATGGATTTCTGTATGTATTGCATTACACAAGACAGTTCTTTATAACTCAACAGGGCACCTACTCTGTTTCTCAATTATGTTATTGTCTCAGTTTAATTGAGACAAGGGTCTTTTGCTGAGGATGGATTAGGAGAAAAAGACCCAAACCTTCTTTTCTAGCAATTATAGATTCGAAATTAAGAGGCTCCGATTGAAGGAAAGCAAATTATGGAAAAGGGAAAAAGGAAAAATAACAGCCCTTTATTAAGTATGTGTGTATTAACGTAACACGAGGGAAA